ATGGCAAATAGCTGGCCAGACAGGCACTGACATGGATGTGCCATAGGCTTATGTATTTACAAAACACAATGTAATAGAAATGGACATCATACTTTGCATTTATATAGCAAGTATTTCTCCAAGGACCTCAAAGGATTCTACAGCCATTACTTGATTCATCCTTGTTACATGCTTGTAAAATGAAGGCGAGGCAAGGATTACTCATCCCATTTTATTAAAGAGGAAGCAGAAGCCCCAAGAGGATCCATGGATTGGCCAAGGGCATATTGTGAGTCATTTATTTGCTCAAAATCATGTAGGGGCTGACATTCGTCCTAAATTGTCCTTACACCTGCTGATTTTTACCTGCAGACTTCTGTTTCTCAAGCTTGTGTTTGTGATTCAGGCCATCAAATGGGCAGTGTTAAAGGAAGGGTATAAACTGGGGAAGTGAAGAGGTTAGCAAGCATTTGGCATTTCACTTTTCCTTCAGTAGACAAATGCTTCTGCATTCTTATGGACAGGCACAGCGCTCTTTACAACCACGTGGAGAAAATGTTCCTATCATTGTTGCACTGGAACCAAGAGACATGGCTCCATGTTAATACTCGCCAGTTAATGACTGCCCACAATGCATGTATTTTTTGTTTTCATTTGTCTTTTCCACATGCACATTTTTAATGTGCACTTTATATTCATTATGTCATTTATCTTGCAACTACTATATGAGCTAGATATTTCCTTGCAAAATTAAGAGACAGGCTTAAAGAGATTAGATGACTTGTCCATGGTCACATAACAAACAAGTTTAGACTTGGGATTTGAGTGAGTTTTTGCTGATTGAATAGATGTGCACTTCTACCATGTTTTACCAATCAAACTTCACTTCCACAGCCAGCAGGGGTCCTACAGTCAGGCATAGCCTAGAGATGTATAAGAAAGCTGAGGCCAGCCTGGGTGCCTACCTCACACACATGTTCTGAATGACAGCCCAGGGTAAATGCAGAGATTATTCCATTCCCCCCAGACAAATACATGGGATACGGCCCCACCTCAGCCACTCTGATTGCCAGGGTAGTTTGGGCTTTCCTGGTCCCAGACTCACACCTTGCATCTGACCCAAGCCCAAGCTAGTGGCAGTGCCAGCTGAGCTTCATAAACAGGGGATGGAAAGGAAGAACAATAACCTAGAAGCTACTCCAGGGCGCTCGTCTCCCACTTGCACTGACCACTACTAATTGGCATCTGAGTTCCAACCATCGCTGGGCAGTAAGGATAGGGTCTGTCTCCTGGGGGCGCCCATTCTTCACAGAGTGGAAAACTGAGGCTCACACATGTTCAAAGTTACCAAGGAAATCAGAAAGCGAAAAAGCACCTGGGGCTATTTTCCCCAATGTTTTCTGTAATTTTGATTTTAACCATTAGAATGTGCTATTGCAAGTGGTAGAGAAAGCCATCCCCTGAAAATGCAGAATGGAAAAGAAAAATTCTGAGATGTATTATTATCCCCATTCTCCAGATAAGAAAAGTGATGCTCAGAGTGTAAATAGCACATACTAAAGCCAGAATCCGAACGTGGATCTGTGGAAGTCATGCCCTTTCCATCAAGCCTCACTAACCTCCAAAGAGTTTGATGGTGTATCCTTCTCCTGATGATGCCATCCCGGTGGTGTCAGAGGAGGCTTTGAGCACAGCCTCAGAACAGCAGTATGAGTTATAGATGCAGAGAAGGCCAAATGTTGGTAAGATGCCCTTCTGTGAAATACTGCAGTTACTGGGGCTGGCACTGGGATGCAGCCTCTGCAGTGCTGTGACTCTCAGGGTTTGCTTGCCAGCCAGTGCTGTCCACAAACATAAGTCACATATTGATAGAGTTTGGAAATTTGCCCCACCCAAATCTCACGTTGAAAAGTCATCCCCAGTGTTGGAGGTGGGGCCTGGTGGGAGGGGATGGGATCATGGGGGTGGATTTCTCATGAATGATTTAGTACCATTCCCTTGGTGCTGTTTTTGTGATAGTGAGTGAGTTCTCATAAGATCTGGTTGTTGAAAAGTATGTGGCACCTCCCGTCCTCTCTTACTCCTGCTTTCTCCATGTGATGTGCCTGCTCACTCTTCACCTTCCACCATGATTGTAAGATTTCTGAGGCCTCCCCAGAAGCAGATGCCGCTATATTTCCTGTACAGCCTGCAGAACAATGAGCCAATTAAACCTCTTTTCTTTATAAGTTACCCAGTCTCAGGTATATCTTTATAGCAATGCAAGAACGGACTAACACACGTACGCAGTGTTAAATTTTATGGGAGCCACAGATGCAAGCCACATATGATCTTAAAACATCAAGTACTTACATAAAAAAAATGAGCAAAAAGAAACAGGTGATATTAATTATAATAATACATTTTATTGAAACCAATAGAGCCATTAGATTGCCATTTCAACATGTCATCAATATGAAAAATATCAATGAGCTACTTTACATTCTTACTCTTTTTATCTAGGACCTCAAAACACGTCACCATTTGGACAAGCCACATTTCAAGCGCTCAATATCCGCAGGTGGCCAGTGGCTTTCACATTGGATAGTGCTAATCTAGAAGGATAGGATGGCTCAGAAAGCTTGGACTGTGGATTGCAAATCTTGACTCCGATCAACTGCCAGGATGACTTAGCAAAGGGCTTGAAAGGTTAGACACTATTTCATTTCCATCTCATGCCAGTTACTAGACTCTGTTTTCTCAGTTTCTTCATCTATAAAACAGAGATAATAACAATATCTACCTCGTAGGCTTTTGTGAGGATGAAATGAGGAAGTGCTTAGAACAGAAATGGGCACAAAGTAAGCAATATAAAGGCATTCGCTATGTTTTTCTTATTTCCCCTGGGACTCTGTTTTCTTTTCTGTAAAATAAGGCTATTGAAAACAGATAAGCATTGAGATCCCTTCTTGCTTTTATTCAATGAAAACCCTGGGTGGGAATCCAATTCTAGTGCTGTCTTATCTCCGTGCATTCATTCTGAAGCATGCACTGGGCAGGGCCTCACATCCAGACTGTTTTGTAGCAGAGGCTTGCAAGGTGCTGCTGTGGCTGCCTTAAAGTTGGGTAGGCAGAAGGACTCGCCTCATTTGTTGTCAGTGTTAGAAGCTTGTTCCCTCTGTCCTGGGTTCACGCTGACTTATTCCCTGGACAGCCTCCACATTCTCACAGTTGTCCTCCACAGACACAAAGTTCCCAGTTATAAACCCTCACGTATTTGAATCTCTAAGCTAGAAGAAATCCAAGCTGGACCTGGAGTTTGGGGGAAAGCTCATCCATTTCCAAGTTTCTTCAGCACCAGCTAATAGAAAAGAATCTCCCCGGGAATGACAACCCTGCAGCTTTGCACAGCAGCTGTTCTTGGGGCTGAGAGAGGGATGGGAAGCTGAGTGGTCAAAAGGACAAGCCCTTGAAAAGTTGTGAATGAAGATGCTGAAGCCTCGGCAATAGACATTCTGGCTCAGGAAAGTCCAGCTGTCTGGCTTCTTTCCCCTAGAGATCAAACTGAAGAACTGTAGAAATTCAAGGTGGAGACTAACCAGGGAATCAGACACCTCCTGCCCAGAGAGGCTGGCAGAGACGAGTGCATCTCAAACTCATCTCCAAGGATCTCTCCAATTCACTCAGAAGCTGGAGTCTCTGCTACTTCTTGGAGGTCAGGGGTCTGCAGACTGATGTGTCTTCATGCCAGGAATTCTTCCTCCCCATTTTACTGAACAGAGGAATGGCAGGGCTGCTCTTCTCAAAAGAGAAGAACAAAACCATGGCCCCTCCTGCCAAGCAGTGGTTTCCTCCCAGCTGTTCATGTAGATTTGCTGAGAGCTACATTCTCCCATATCAGCAAGCCCTTAATCAAGAGCCCATCCTGAAAAGAGAGATGCCAAAGAATTGGAAGTCACAGACCTACCCATGAGAAAGGACTCCAGACCAATCACTGGGCAACAGTGAAACCAAACACCATCTTGGTCCTGATGGAGGAAGGAATGAAACACAGAGACTCTTACACTCAGCCATCATTGGCTATTAGGAGAACCAGACCCTGACTCCTCTTCCTTCTCTAGGCTGAACTAAAGAGCTGTTTTCCATCTCCCAGACACAGTTACTGAATCTGACATATTTCAATATTGTGGCCTGGCTGAATGCCTATTATGGACTGAATGTTTGTGCCCCTGCAAAGTTCATATGTGGAAACCCTACCCATCCCCTTGACGTGATGCTATTAGGAGCAGGAGCCTTTGGGAGGTGATTAGGATTAGAAGAGGTCATGAGTTTGGTGCCCTTGGAGTCACAAGAGAGCCTCAGCTCCCCACTCTCTCCTGGGGAGGATACAATAAAAGAAGCTGGCAATCTGCCCAGAAGAGGGCCCTCACCAGAACTCTGCCTTGCTGGCACCCTGATCTCAGACTTCCAGCCTCCAGAACTATGAAAAATGTTACAAATGTCTGTTCTTCCTAAGTGACCCAGTTCGTGATGTTCTATTGCAGCAGCCTGAATGGACTAAGACAGTGCTCCTCGACTGCTGAGGGGCTGCGTTCTCCCTTTGTGGCCTACGTGGCCGAGCTGCACACATAAAAAGCTCCTGAATGCCACTATTTTCATCAGAAGGGCAGGTGGTGCACTAATCACGTGGAGGTGCCACCATGGGTGCCTCTGTCAGCGCCACCATCCCATACCCATCAACTTCACCACACCCTCAGCCCCCGTCGAGCTGGGGTGACAGAATGCTGAGATGGGAGAGGTCTTCCTCATACAACAGCCAAACAACATCACCCCAACCCAGGCAAGTCCCAAAGGGAGTTTCCTGTCTGCCCCCATGAAGGGAAATTAGGGCCCTGCTTGTCCTGGACCACGGAGAACTGGAATGTGAAGAGGCAGAGAGAGCTGGATATTTCCGCACAGCAAGAGCAGGAGTTTTTCACTCTGAAGCCACCTGTGGTCCCCGGTCTCAGAGCCTCTCCAGGCCTGTTCCTTCTGCTCATTAGGTAAATGTGCCAACACAAGGAAAGAAATCAAGATCTATTTAGCTTTTCCCACTGGCCCTGTCAATCGTTCCGAGGAAGACAGCTCCTGCCACACAGCTCAGGAAATGGGCCCCAGAGGGCCAAGAAACAGTTCCATTCCGTAAATGTATTTACACAGCACAGTGCTTGTTCTTCACGTTTTGCCGGCAGCCCACCTCTCCCGAGTGCCCGGGGAAGTTTTATCACCTGGGAGGGCATGCGCTGCTGCTCCACCAAGACCCTCCTTGATCATCAGAACAGACAGATTGTGCAGAGATGCGGCCTCCCTTGGCGAGGCGAGGAAAGGCAGCTCCGGGGCTGATAGAAGGTGGCAGCTCCAGGGTTGACAGAAGGTTCTCCAGCCAACAGGAGCGGGCTGGGCCCGTGGCACCCACAGAACATTTCTGAACACCCACTGTGCTCCCTGGCTGGGGCTGCCTCCTCTGGCAGCTCTTCTCAAGATCAAGGGAGAGATGTGGGTTCTGGTTACAGCATCTTTGAAAAGGCTACCACTTGGAAATTTCGAGAACAGGCAGAAGTATGGGGGATCAAGATCAAGATCGGACAGGCAAGACTGTATTAAAAAGGCTAGGCATTCCAGAGTTTTCAGAGCTGCAAGGGGAGTTCAAACACTATCCAGTCCTATTGCCCATTGTACAGAGAAGAAAACTGAGCTTCAGAGAAAATAAGTCTATTCCATAGTAGTTAATAAGACCGAGGGCTTTGGAGCCAGTCTGAACTTGGTTGTAACCCCAGCTCTACAACTTGCTTGCTCTATAACCTGGAATTTGATCACCATAAGTCTCCATTTTCTCATTTGTAAAATGTATATGAGAAAACTTTCCTCGTATGTTTTGTAAGGTTCACATGAGATAAGGAAGTAAATAAAGCACTTAGCGTAGGAATTGAACAATTTGTGGTAAACGTTATCATTATAATTACGTAATTTGGCCAAAGTCATCCAGAGAATTCTTATCCGAGGCAGAACTCAAATTCAGTTCTTTCAACTCCTAGAGCAGTGTTCACTTTCCAGTGATCAAAAAGACCTTCAAAGTGAAGTCACTTTCTTTATCATTTAGGAATTTCATTCATCTACTAATACCAGTGGCTTAGAGAAATTAGGGTTGTATTCTCTTGTCAATCTAAATAACAAAGAGAAGTTCTCTAAAAGAAAAGGTGTTTATTTGGGAATAGGCATTGTAATGGAAATACATATGCCATAGTAAACTATGTGTATATTCAGGGAAGACAAAGGTTTTTAAAGGAGAAAATGAGGAGAATTGCATAACTGTTTTGAAATAATTATCCTTGGCTACAAAGACCAATGACAAGGATGATGCCAGTCCGAGGTTAAACAGGCAGTTGCTGGGTAGATGTCCTTGCAGAAGGATTTTTTGTATAAAGTTGCAATGCCCTTTGCACAAGGTTGTGGTTTTTACAGTCTTCTGTGATAGCTTTTGTTACCAGGCATATAAGCATGAGAAACCTCTCTACATAGCCTCTCTGGCTCTATTTGTTAGATTTTTCTTGATATTAATGACTCCATTTTCATCTTAGCACCTTTCACACCCCCACATAAAGTAAAACCAAAGGTAAGTAGTAGAGGATTGGTAAGGAAGCACCGTGAATCCAGACTTCTCTATTTTTCTACCAACCTGAGCTCTTTGTTTTTATCCACAAGGTCGCAAGATAGTTGCTGTGGCTCCAGCCATCGGGAGGAAATGGAGTAGCAAGGGGCAATGGGGCATTCCTTTGAGTATAGTTATAGTTAGCCCCTTTAAAAAAGATTTCCTGGAAGCCCCATTCTGTGACTTTTGCTTCTAATTGGAAGCCCTGGATGCAAGGAAAGTTGGACAATGCCTGATAAAGCCAGGGAATTATTTACAAAGAAGGGGAGAGTGAATACTGTAACAGCAATGAACAATCTTAGCCTTTCAGCCACACTCTCTGAGACAATGGGGTGTCACCCTTCACATCTGCCTCCCACCCGGGACCTCTGGAGGAGTCTCTGAGTGTTCCCCATTTATGCTTGTGGCTGCCCAGTGTCCCAGCCTGGTCCAGGATCAGTGTCTTACTGCCCCACAGCACCTGGCCCATGCTTTGGCCCATGCCACTCACTGACAAGGACTTTGTGCAAAGGCAAAAGTGCACAAAGAAGGGGCTGCTGAAGGAGAGCCCTACCTTGCCCACAGCTTCCCTTGGTGCCTATGAGTTTAGAGGATGAGTTCTTTTTTCTTCTCTGTAATTAGAGCCAATCTGAATAACACAAACACCTTTGTGAGTCATTTTGTAAGGAAAATTTTGCCTTTTCTGCCCCAAACCCTCCAAAAGTACTCTGTTTCTCTCACAGTAAGAGCCAGAGTTCTTGTGCTGACCTGCCAGGCCATAGAAAATCTCCCCTAGGCACCTCTTTAGCTTCTCCCCTTTACTCTGCTCCTGACACCACAGCCTCCTTGCTGTTTCTCAAACTCACCAGGACACTCCACACTCCCAGGGCCTTAGCACTTGCTATTCTCTTGCCTGGAATGCTCTGTCCCTCAGCATCCAAATGGTTCCTCCTTCACCTCCTGTAAGGCTTTGTTTAAAGGTCATCTTCTTTTTTTTTTTTTTTTTGAGATGGAGTCTTGCTCTGTTTCCCAGGCTTGGTGTGATCTCAGCTCACTACAACCTCCGCCTCCCAGGTTCAAGCGATTCTCCCACCTCAGCCTCCCAAATAGCTGGGATTACAAGCATCTGCCATCATGCCCAGCTAATTTTTGTATTTTTGTAGAGACGAGGTTGTACCATGTTGGCCAGGCTGGTCTTGAACTCCTGACCTCAGGTGATCCACGTGCCTTGGCCTCCCAAAGTGCTGGGATTACAGGTGAGAGCCACTGCACCTGGCCAAATGCCACCTTCTCAATGAGGTTGCATTGACCACTCTTTAAAACCATAATTCCCTAGGCACTCCCAAACTCTCACTTCCCATAGCACTCATCACCTCCTAACTTTCCAGGCACTTCATTTATTTATGTTTGTCATATTGCTGTGTAATGTGTTTCTTATGCCTATTTATTTATATATTATGAGGGAAGAAAGTTCTGTCTGTTTGGTTTACAGCTGTACCCTCAGCATGTAAATAAGAGCCTGACGCACAAAGCAAATTCTTAAGTATCTGTTGAATAAGTGCACACATAAGCGCAGCTCAGTCTTGGGACAAATTAGAATCTCCACTCAAAGAAGGCAATTGACAAAAAAGGAATAGATAAGTATCTGATGTAACCAGCAATAAGAAAAAGACCATCCATATAAAGTCAGATCAAGAAAATGGCCATCTTAGAGAAGACACAGAAAATTAATGATCTGGATTTATGGTACTGCTTTCTCACCCAGATGAGTAAACACATTAGCTATCCACTCTCTAGGTAATTGTTGTCACTCCCATTCAGAGGAAGGGGATGCTAAGACCCAGGAATGGCCAGTCCAGTATCTCCTATTGTCCTACTAAATGACCCAGCATCTTAGATCCTGACTCAAGAGACCATAGCCTAAAAGAAAGTGGGCTTCTGTCCCAAACTGGCTGCCATCAGGACAATTGTTCATTTTCTTTCACCTTCAATTTTCTGTTGACTGTGTCCCCGCTCCTAAGCTGCTCATTTACTCTGTGGCTTCCACAGGCATCCCTTTACCTATGTATGGGCACTTTTCAAAATAAGACTACCTTGTGACTGAAAGCAGTCAAAAGGACTTAATCAGAAAATGAACAGCCATGCCCCCTCCCATTCATATGCCTCAATACTCACATTTGAGGGGTGCCCAGGTGATGAGAGAATTAAATCTCTGTCCCTAAGTCAGTTAGAAATTGGTTTTTTCTTCTCTTGCTGAAAAGTTAGAAAGTGATTTTGAAAATGCAATGCAGAGAAAGTAGTCTTTATTTTCCTCTCTCCTCTAACCATGGAAATATCCACTACCAGAGCTTGATTAATGTTAAATATGACCTTTCGCAAAGTTTCTTGGCAGTTAATTTATGATACTTCCAGATTCTAATGTATCAGGCAGTGGCTGTTTATGCGTTTGATGAAGTAGTCTTTGTCCAGAGTTGATATGTTTTACCAGAACTTCTGTAGCTCGCTTTTCCTTTCTCTCTCTTGCTGTTTCAATCTCTCTTTCAGTCTAACTTTGTGCTTGGGTATTTAATCAATTTGACTGGGAAGAAAACATGAATATATTTATGAATTCTCAGTCCCTAAGTTGTCATGCACGCTGTATTAGCTTATTACTGTATCTCCAAGATAATTCTTTCCTCTCATCTCCCTACACCTGTGCTTTTGAGTTCAGGGAGATCTCAGCTCAACCAAAATTACTTTTAATGTTTGGTTTGCTACAAGAGCTGCTTTGAGGGTTTCTGTCTTGAACAGGTGTATCTTCTCTTTGCATCCTTATTGCTTTTGCCTTTATTCTTCACTGTCTCTGAAAAAAAGAAATCTAGTGAACTAGATGTGAGCCCCAAGAGGTTGTTTCAGCCCAAGAATGTAACTAAGCTTAATGAGTGGAGGAGAAGCCAACAAATGGGTGCCTGGGATGCAAGGAACTCAGGATGCTTCACCTTAGAAAGTACATGATGATAGTCAATTACTACATGAAAGTTTCAGGATATCAGAGATTTTAGCCTGTCTTTTCCAGAACCTAGAATGGTGCTTGGCACAGAGTAGTTGTACAATTTTTGTGGAAAGAAAGAAGGAAAGTGAGATATCAAGCAAGGGAAGGAAGACCACAGTCTCTAATACAATGACCTTTAAATCTTTTACTAGAGTTTGGTAAATAGCCCATGAGGCCGTTTTTGGATTTTTATAATAAAAGTCCAGGGAACTGCCAGAATCTTCTCACCTTTCTTTTCTTTGCCACTACCTGAGAAACTGTTATAGGTGTTATAGGTGCTGAGAACACCTTTCCCTGAGTCCTGGAGCTCCCTCTATGCTGTCAAACCAGGTGTCTGCACTTGGGCCAGCATCTTTAAATCTTTGAATGCATCACGAATGCCTTTACCTACAACAGTGAGGACAGGAAAAGGCCAGCAACCAGAGTAGAGCGAAAGCTCCACTAAGTTGCATCAAAGGCCCAGGTGAAGCAGGAGAACATAGATTGATGAGAACTATGTGGTTACTCCAAAACTATTCTGCAACCTAGAGAAAGAGCAGGGGAAAGGGACAATTAAGTTTGCCCAAGGTTAGGAATCAGCCGAGTAGATGCAACATGAGCTCAAGAGGAAAAAGGAATGGGTGGAACCAGAAAAAAAAGTGGGATTTAGGCTGTAAACAGAGGTGGAAGACACCAAGGGCTGCATGGGCTCTGTTAGCATTTGGTCTACAAGTTTTATTTTACATTTGGAAATATATAAATCTTTGATGAGATGTTTTCTTTTCTAGCCATTTGGGCATAACTTACACACATCCCAATTTTCTTTGTCCTCCCAAGGAGAAAACTGAATGGAGCCAGGCAGAGCTGCTATTCGCGTCACACACCTTTGGAGGCTACTCACACAGTGTGACATCCCAGGACTCTAGAGCAGTAAGCCTCACTTGTGAGACAAAGAGACAGATGTCACTTCTACAGTGTGATTTGAAGGGCAACAGGAAACCTGTGTAGCCTCCCTACCCCATGCCTTCTGTCAACCTTCCGTTGTGCCTGAAATTTCCCTTTTACTCACTGCTTAGATTTACTGTACAGAAATGCTAATAAAGCACAAATGTTACCTGGAGGTGTCACGCAGCTGAAGCAGTCCAAAAAACTTGAAAGTCGGACCAAGCTAGGGTCAGATCCCAGCTCTCACTCTATAGCAGTGGGATACCTGGCAAATTACTTAGCATCACAAAGACTCTCTATCCTTATTTATAAAAATCTGAACTCTACCTACATTATAGGGTCATGATAAGGCTAATTTGACTAACATGTATAGAGCAACCACCACAGAAACTGATACCTACTGGGGGCCCAAGAGATGTTCCTTCTTTTTATCTTTATCTATGAAAACTGGCATGGTGGAAAAAGCACGGGACAAGAGTCAAGGACCATGGGTTCCAGTCCATGCTGTTCCACTAAGGAGCTGTGTGACCTTCTTAAAGTCACTTTATTTCTCTGGGCTTGAGTTTCCCAGGGGCCTGAACTGGATTTATTCATTCAAAAAATGTTATTGAGCTCCCAATATGTGTCCAGGAGCTGTTAATCTGCTTGCATGATTAATAAATGAATGAATGTGTGTGAAATCGTGGTAAGCAATAGACAGATAATTAAAATGTAGTCTTATGATGGAGAGGTCCTGGGTAGCTACTTCAGATGGAGCACCCAGGGAAGACCTGTGGGAGGGGGTGAATTTTATACTGAGGTCTCCAATGACAAGAAGGAGATAGCCATCAAAAGATCAAGGGGAGATGCTGTCCTGGCAGAGGAAACAGCAAATGCAGAGGCTCCCTCAAAAGAAGCAAGCTTGGATGACTTCCAAAGTCCTTTCTAGGACCAATAGCCCTTATCTTGTGTTTTCTGTGGTCAGGATATGAATTTGGATATGACACTAGGATAAGTCAAATGGCAGTCCTTTTATGGGCTGATCACTGCCAGTAAGAGGTAGCTAGTGATACAGTTAGACTAGTTATGCTAGGGGCCAGCTGAGCAAGGGAAAATCATAATCCAGACTGGAAAGAGAAAAGTACAGCTAAAAAAGCAAAGACATCATTGGGCTATAAAGAATATTTAGAGACTGGGGCCAATTTCCTTTCAAAGCACCAAGCAGGCCCTTATCATAAGACAGTGACAGAGAAACAATGACAGAAGTTTGCTGCTTGGACAATTGGACACTTTTTTGAAGCCCCTTTACAGCAGCTGAAGAAGGGCAGAACTAAGTCAGGAAGAACATTCCTAGAAGAACTTAGAAATAAGGGTCTGGGCTAGGAATATTTTGGTCTCAGATGACAGAATAGATATTCATTCATTTACCTCAGTCATTCACTCATTCAACAAATATTTATTGAGGACCCACTCTTCTAGGCCCTGCTCTTACAGCTGGAGCCATGGTATTGAAGAAAGCAGATAAAAATCCCTAGAAAAAGGCTGGGCGCGGTGGCTCATGCCTGTAATCCCAGCACTTTGGGAGGCCAAGATGGGCGGATCACCTGAGGTCGGGAGTTCGAGACCAGCCTAACCCACACGGAGAAATTCCACCTCTACTTAAAAAAATACAAAATTAGTCGGGCTTGGTGGTGCATGCTTATAATCCCAGCTACTTGGGAAGGTTGAGGCAGGAGAATCACTTGAACCTGGGAGGTGGAGGTTGCAGTAAGCCGAAATTGCACCACTGCCCTCCAGCCTGGGCAACAAGAGCAAAACCTGTCTCAAAAAAAAAAAAAAAAAATTCCCTAGAAGTTATTACATTCTAGCAGGGAAGATAGATCTTGAGAGGTCAAGATCTTTAACCTGAACAAGCTTAGACCTTTTATTTGCTCTAAATATTGAGTGCCCAGTCTGTGCCTAGTAGCGGGTTAGTTGCTGGGTACTGTGCTGACCACACCTGGTCATGCAAACACATAATAACATATATTGATAGAAAATTTTACTGCCCTCAAACCACTTTCATCCTCCTTTCATCCTCATGCCACCCTACAAGCTCTCAAAGGCAAAGGGGCTTGCTCAAGCTCACCATGCTGAGCGTCTGGACTGCATCCCAGGTCATCTTGCAGTCTAGAGGTCTTTCAGTTATATCACTTTGTTGCTTACTACAGCAGATGTTTTCATTCTGTTGAACTAACCTATATGCACCTTCCCAGACATTATATTGGAAGCAAGAACTGTGAAGAGGCAGGAGCTGAGAGAATTCACTGTGTTGATATGTGGCAGCAGCTACTCCCAGATTCCCAGGGCAGCATCCAGTGTCGGTGGTGTCTGCAAGGCAATCGCAGCATCAGTGTTGGGCTGCAGCAACAATGGTGTCTTCACTCCCTTAGTTTTGTTGCATGATTAGGAACATTGCTTCCAGGTGTATAGCCTACAATCCAGACACTCTAGGCTTCCTGAAGATATTCTGAACTACCAATATTCATTTTAATAAATTCTTTTTTGTGCGTGCTTAAATCAACCAGATTTGGTTTTGTTGCCTGAAACTACACACTGTGACTGCTACGCTTACAAAATCCTTTGTCCTCATTTACCAGCAGGATAGGCAAAGTTTTCTACAGTTTAAAAAAAAATCCCTAGTGGTTTAAAACAATGTGGCTTCTCTCTTGCTCATAGTCCTTGTGCATCCCAGGTTGACTGGATTTTTCCAAATAAATGTTTAAATATTTTGAACTAAATGAAAATGAAAATACAACTGATCAAAATTTGTGGTATGCAGCAAAAGTGGAGTTTTGAAGAAATTTTCTAACATTGAATGCACACATTAAACAAAAAAAAAATATCTAAAATCAATCATTTAAGCTTCTACCTTATGAAATTAAGGAGAAAATAGAAATGTAAACCCAAAGAAGCATAATACAAAATAATAAAATTAGAGCAGAAATCAGTGGAAGTCGAAACGAGAAATCAATAGAGAAAAATCAACAAAATCAAAAGCTAGTTTTTCACAAAATCAGTAAAATTGATAAACCTCTAGTCAAGTTACAAATTACTAATATTGGAAATAAAAGAGGAGCTACTTCTACTGATCTCGTGATTGTTAAAAGCATAATAAAGGCTAGTTTAAAAACATAAGAGCATAATCAAAAGCTAATTATTTTCAAAAGATGAGTAAAATTGATAAACCTCTAGTTAAACTGCAAATTACTAATATTAGAAATTAAAGAGGAGCTATTTCTACTGATCCCGTGAACATTAAAGGTATAATAAAGGAATATAAACAATTCTATGTGTACAAATTTGATAAAATATATGAAATAGACCAATCCCTTGATGGGTATAAATTACTAATACTCACACAAGAAGAAACAGAATATGAATAACCTATATCTATTGAAGAAACTGACTCAATAATTAATAACCTTCCAAAAACAGAAAATACCAAGTCCACATGGTTTTACTAGTGAATTCTACCAAACATTTAAGGGAGAAATTATACTGATTCTCTATGATCTCTTTCAGAAAATAGAAGCACACGGAACACTTTCTAACTCATTCTATGAGGTCAGCATTGTCCTAATACCAAAACAAACCAGAGAAAGACATTACAAGAAAGAAAAACTACAAGCCAATATTTTTCATGAACACCGATGTAAAAAATCTCAACCAAATATTGGCAAATCAAATCCAACAATGTAGAAAAAGAATTATACACCACGATAAATGAGATTTATTCCAGGTATGCAAGGCTGGCTCAACATTCAAAAATTACTTCAGGCCGGGCGTGGTAGGTCATGCCTATAATCCCAGCACTTTGGGAGGCTAAGGCGGGCAGAGTGCTTGAGGTGAGGAATTCAAGACCAGCCTGGCCAACATGGTGAAACTCTGTCTCTACTAAAATACAAAAATTAGCCAGGCGTGGTGGTGTGTGCCTTTAATCCCAGCTATTTGGGAGGCTAAGGCAGGAGAATCACTTGAACCTTGGGGGCGGAGGTTGCTGTGAGCCGAGATTGCGCCACTGCACTCCAGCCTGGGTGACACAGTGAGACTCAGTCTCAAAAAATAAATAAATAAATAAACAAAAATCACTTCATGTAATCCATTACCTCAACAGGCTAAAGAAGAAAAATATACAACCATATCAATAGATGCAGAAAAAACATTTGACAAAGTCAAACACCTATTCATTATTTAAGGAAAAAAAACAGTGGACTTGGAGTAGAAGGAAACTTCTTTACCTTAATAAAGAAAGTCGCCCGGCTATCCCCAAGGCCACTGAAGGTCAGCACAGTCGTGGCGTTCCCTGCACCGGCAGTCTACCTGACCCATCAGCAGAAGGTGTTGAGGTTTTAAAAGCGGGCACTGCCACTATCATACTGAATGGGCAAAAACTGGAAGCATTCCCTTTGAAACCTGGCACAAGACAGGGATGCCCTCTCTCACCACTCCTATTCAACATAGTGTTGGAAGTTCTGGCTAGGGCAATCAGGCAAGAGAAAGAAATCAAGGGTATTCAGTTAGGAAAAGAAGAAGTCAAATTGTCCCTGTTTGCAGATGACATGATTGTATATTTAGAAAACCCCATCGTCTCAGCTCCCAATCTCCTTAAGCTGATAAGCAACTTCAGCAAAGTCTCAGGATACAAAATCAATGTGCAAAAATCACAAGCATTCTTATACACCAATAATAGACAAACAGAGAGCCAAATCATGAGTGAACTCCCATTCACAATTGCTTCAAATAGAATAAAATACGTAGGAATCAAACTTACAAGGGATGTGAAGGACCTCTTCAAGGAGAACTAAAAACCACTGCTCAATGAAATAAAAGAGGATACAAACAAATGGAAGAACATTCCATACTCATGGATAGGAAGAATCAATATCATGAAAATGGCCATACTGCCCAAGGTAATTTATAGATTCAAGGCCATCCCCATTAAGCTACCAATGACTTTCTTCACAGAATTCGAAAAAACTACTTTAAAGTTCATGTGGAACCAAAAAAGAGCCCACATTGCCAAGACAATGATAAGCCAAAAGAACAAAGCTGGAGGCATCATGCTACCTGACTTCAAACTATACTACAAGGCTGCAGTAACCAAAACAGGATGGTACTGGTACCAAAACAGAGACATACACCAGTGGAACAGAACAGAGCCCTCAGAAATAATACCACACATCTACAATCATCTGATCTTTGACAAACCTGACCAAAACAAGAATTCTGTGTTTAGTAAATGGTGCTGGGAAAACTGGCTAGCCATAAGTAGAAAGCTAAAACTGGATCCCTTCCTTACACCTTATACAAAAATTAATTCAAGATGGATTAAAGATTTAAATGTTAGACCTAAAACCATAAAAACCCTAGAAGAAAACCTAGGCAATACCATTCAGAACATAGGCACGGGCAAGGAATTCATGTCTAAAACACCAAAAGCAATGGCAACAAAAGCCAGAATTGACAAATGGGATCTAATTAAACTACAGAGCTTCTACACAGCAAAAGAAACTGCCATCAGAGTGAACACGCAACCTACAGAATGGGAGAAAAATTTTGCAATCTACTCATCTGACAAAGGGCTAATATCCAAAACCTACAAAGAACTCATACAAATTTACAAGAAAAAAAACAAACAACCCCATCAGAAAGTGAGCAAAGGATATGAACAGATACTTCTCAAAAGAAGATATTTATGCAGCCAACAGACACATGAAAAAATGCTCATCATCACTGGCCATCAGAGAAATGCAAATCAAAACCACAATGAGATACTATTTCACACCAGTTAGAATTGGGAATCCATTAAAAGTCAGGAAACAACACAGGTGCTGGAGAGGATGTGGAGAAATAGGGAACACTTTCACACTGTTGGTGGGACTGTAAACTAGTTCAACCATTGTGGAAGACAGTGTGGAGATTCCTCAGGATCTAGAACTAGAGATACCATTTTGACCCAGCCATCCCATTACTGGGTATATACCCAAAGGATTATAAATCATGCTGCTATAAAGACACATGCACACATATGTTTACTGGTGGCACTGTCACAATACAAAGACTTGGAACCAACCCAAATGTCCATCAATGACCAGACTGGATAAGAAACGGTGGCACATATTACACCATGGATACTATGCAGCCATAAAAAAGGATGAGTTTCATGTCCTTTGTAGGGACATGGATGCAGCTGGAAACCATCATTCTCAGCAAACTATTGCAAGAATAGAAAACCAAACACTGCATGTTCTCACTCATAGGTGGGAATTGAACAATGAGAACACTTGGACACAGGAAGGGGAACATCACATACCAGGGCCTGTTGTGGGGTGGGAGGAGGCGGGAAGGATAGCATTAGCAGATATACCTAATTTAATTGACAGGTTAATGAGTGCAGCACAGCAACATGGCACATGTATACATATCTAACAAACCTGCACATTGTGCACACGTACCCTAGAACATACAGTATAATAAAAAAAATTAAAAAAAAAAAAGCGGGCGCTGCACCACCTCGAGTTGTGGTGCATCCAAAGCGACAAATACCAATAATTTGCTTATCTGATGAGAGCCTTGTTTGAGGAACATAAGAATGAAAAGGATATGATGAAGGCCACCCAGCTGCTGAAGGAGGCTGAGGAAGAATTCTGGTACTTTCAGCATCCACAGCCATACATCTTCCCTGACTCTCCTAGGGATGCCTCCTATGTGACATATGAGTGCTACAAGATACCAGAATGGTGCTTAGAAGACTGGCATCCTTCTGAGAAGGCAGAGTATCCTGATTACTTTGCCAAGAGAAAACGGTGGAAGAAACTGCGGAGGGAAAGCTGGAAACGAGAGGTTAAGCAGCTGCAGAAGCAAATGCCACCTGCCCAAAAGGAAGGTGATTTGCCCCCACTGTGGTGGCATATTGTGACCAGACCCCGGGAGCAGTCCATGGAGAGAGAGAGACCTCATCTTTCATGCTTGTGCGTGAAATACACTACAGAACATACACTTGCTCTAATAAAAAATCAGTGAAATAGGGAAAAAAAGAGAAAGCTTGCCAACCCCTACAGCTAGTATTATATTTAATGATGAAACTAGATTGTTTCCCCTGAAAATCAGAAACAAGGAAAGAGGTCTCCTCTCACCACCCTATTTAGCATCATACTAGAAGTCCTAGCTAAGACGATAAGATAAGAATAAAAAAAATAAACAGATAAGGAAGGAAGAAATAAAACTGTCTTTGTTTGCAAATGTGATGATTGTCCATGTTGAAAATCCCAAAGAACTGAGCAAAAAACAAAAAACAAAAACAAAAAAGTCTTGAAATGAACAAGCAATTATAGCAAGATTGCAGGATACAAGGTTAATACAAAAAATTTAATTGCTTTCCTATATACCCACAAGGAAAAAAATGGATTATAAAATTAAAAATACATCATCTATGTCAGCACCAAAAAATTGAAATAATTAGGTTGTAATCTAATAAATAAAATAAATACAGAATCTATTTAGGGAAAACAAGTCTGATTTTAAAAATCAAATATCCAAATAAATGGAAATGTATTCCATGTTCACGGAAAGGAAGACCCAATATTGTTAAGATGTCAATTATTTCCAACTGATCTATATATTGAATGTAATCTTGATCAAAATCCTAACAAGTTATTTTGTGAATATCAAAAAAAGATTTAAAGTTTATATGGAAAGGCAAAAGACAAGATAATCAACACGATACTGAAAAAGAAGCACAAAGTCAGAAGGCTGATATTACCTGACTTTAACACTGCTAATAAAGGTACAGTAATCAAGACAACATGATATTGGAGTAAGAATAGACAAATAAATCAGTGGAACATAAAAGAGTCCAAAACAGACCCACGCAAGACAGACCACCTATCTTTGACAAAGGAGCAAAGGAGATTCAGTGAGGAAATAGTAGATTTTTAGGCAAAGCATGGTGGCTCACACCTGTAATCCCAGCACTTTGGGAGGCTGAGATAGGAGGGTGGCTTGAGCCCAGGAGTCTGAGACCAGCCTGGGCAATATAGTAAGACTGTGTATCTACAAAGTTTTTTAATTAGCCAGGCATGGTAGTACACACCTGTAGGTCCCAGCTACTCAGGAGGCTGATGTGAGAGAATCACTTGAGCCTGGGAGGCAGAGGCTGCAGTGAGCCGACACCACACCACTGCACCCAGCCTGGGCAACAGTCTAAGAATCTGTCTCAAAAAAAAAAAGATACCATAGATTTTTAAATAAATGGTACTAAAACATTGGACATCCTTAGGAAAAGATTGATCTAGATACAGACTTTCCTTCTACTTTTCACAAAATATTACCTCAAAATGGATCATAGACCTGAACGTAAAACTATAAAACTTCTAGAAGATAATGTAGAAGAAAATCTAGGTGACCTTGAGTTTGGAGACGAGTTTTCAGATTAAAAAAAAAAAGAGCAATACATGAAAGAAAAATATTGGCAACTTAGATTTTATTAAAATTTAAAACTTCTGCTCTGCAAAAGATACTTTTAAGAGAATGAAAAAACGAGCCAAAGACTGGAAGAATATATTCACAAAGCACATGTCTGATAAAGGCCTTGTAGCCAAAAGGGAAAAAAAAAAAAAACCCTTAAAACTCAATAATAAGAAAATAAACAACCCACTTTAAAAGCTGGCAAAAGACCTGAACAGATACCCCACCAAAAAGATACACAGATGACAAACAAGTATATGAATACATGCTCAACATCATATGTCATTAGAGAAGCGCAAGTTAAAACAACGAGATACCACTAAATACCTATTCTAATGGCAAAAAAAAAAAACCCTAACAATACCAAATATTGGCAAGAATATTATTCAGTGCCAATGCAAAATGGTGTGGCCACTTTGAAAGATAATCTGGTGGTTTCTTACAAGGCTTAAACATAGTATTGCCATACAATCCAACAATCGCACTCCTAGGTATTTATCCAACTGACTTGAAAACTTATGCCCACATAAAACCTACAAATGAATGTTTATAGCAGCTTTATTCATAATTGCCAAAAACTGGAAGCAACCAAGATGTAACTCAATAGGTAAATGGATAAGCAAACCATATTCTATACAACGAATATTATTCAGTGACAGGAAGAAAGTCCTATCAACCCATGAAAAGACAAGAAAGAAATTTAAATGTGTATTGCTAAGTGAAGCCAGTCTGAAAGGGATACATACTGTATGATTCCAACTATATGACATTCTGGGAAATGAAATACTATATAGACATTAAAAAGGTCAGTGGTTGCCAGGGGTTCTGGGTAGGGGAGGGATTAGCAGGTGAAGCACAGGAGATTTTTAGAGCAGCAATAGGATTCTGTATACTATAATTACGGGTATATGACATGCATTTGTTGGGACTCACAGAATTGTATAATGCAAATAGTGAACCTCTATGTAAACTATGAACTCTAGTTAATAATAATATATCAGTATTGGGTCATTAATTGTGACAAATATACAATACTAATGTATGATGTCAATAATAAGGGATATGTCAGTAGGGGAGATACATGGAAACGCTGAACTATCTGCTCAATTCTTCTGTAAATCTTTTTTTTAAGACAAAATCACGCTGTTATGCATGTTAGAGTGCAAATGCAGCAGCATGATCATAACTCACTAAAACTCCTGGTCTCAAGCAATCTTCCTGCCTCACCCTCCTGAATACCTAGGGCTACAGGCACATGACACCACACCCAGCTAATTTTCTTTCCATATTTTGTAGAGATGGGTCTTGCTATTTTGCCCAGACTGGTCTTAATGTCCTGGCCTCAAGGGATCCTCCCACCTCAGCCTCCCAAAGCACTGGAATTATAAGCATGAGCCAGTGTGTCTGGCCCTTCTGTTAATCTAAAACTGTGCTAAAAAATAAAGTTCATTAATTTAAAAAAAAAATTGATGGTTTAAAATAACAATGGTTTCTTTCTTGATCACGCTTCATGTTCACATCGGAATTGGCTGCTTTTTCCTTCTTCAGGAAACTGGTACAGACTTATTCAGGGGCAGCCTGGTTGATGAAAATCTCATCTTGAATATCACCAGTCTTCATGAAAGAGTGGAGAAATCATTCAGTGGTTCTTAAATATGATGTACCAGAGGAGGCACATGGCTTCTGCTCACATTTCATTATGAGTAAATCATCCAGCCACACCTAGCTTTAAGAGTGATGGGAATGCAATTTTATCATGTGCCCAGAAAAAGAAAAATCCAAATTCTAGTCATTAGTCCTAATGACTACCACCCCTTTTTTCCTAGTTCCTTCTCCTGGTCCAGTGTTATCACCAGGACACTTGTGCACAGGACACTTTTGTGCCAGCACACAGAAAAACATTCTGGCTGCTCAGAGGCAGAGGCTCTCCAAGCCCACTGATCCCTGCTAGGGTCATTGATACATCTCAAGCAAGCTCCACCCGCTTAATTGCTTCTTCACTTTGAAATCCCTCCTGAAAAACCTAGTGCTTTTATGAAGTTCTTCCTTGGCTTCATACTCTCAGTATCAATTTACAAGAAGGAAAAAGTCCAAAGAGAAACAGAAGAAACATTGGGAAAAGTATGCTTCAAAAATCCTTTGTAGGTTAGAAGATCAAGGACCTCCATACCAGCTTTCACTCCACTGAGTGTTGCTCAGCAAGGAGCTTGACCTGTCTCTTCACCTACCACCACAAAGGCCGATGGCAGGCTACAAAGGACACATCCATTGTAAAGAATTATAAAGTCTTGTTCTGTTCACAGTGGCCAAGAATACCTTGAGCATTCTAAAGCTGAGATGAGTGGAAGAAAAAGTGTTACTAGGACTACTTGATTTGCATGTGACAAATTTAACTCAAACCAGCTTAAGCACAAAGAGAACGATCTGGTCTGTGTAACCAAGAATTCCTGTACAGATTCAGGAATTAATTTGAACAATATCATTAGATCTCAGTCTCTCTCTCTCTCTCTCTCTCTCTTTTGCTTTTCTGAGTTTATTTTATTCTCAGGCAATTTTCTCCCACATGCTAAAAAATTGGCTTAGGGAGCAATATGGTTTGGCTGTGTCCCCACCCAAATCTCATCTTCAATTGTAGCTCCCATAATCTCCATGGGTCGTGGGAGGGACCCGGTGGGAGGTAATTGAATCATGCCGGCAGGTTTTTCCCATGCTGAATAAAGGGCAGTTCCCCTGCACATGCTCTCTTGCCTGTTGCCATGTAAAACGTGTTCCTGTTCTTCCTTCACCTTCCACCATGATTGGGAGGCCTTCCCAGCCATGTGAAACTGCGAGTCCACTAAACCTCTTTTTCTTTATAAATTATCCAGTCTCAGGTATTTCTTGAGAGCAGTATGAAAATGGACTAATACAGGTAGTTAAATCTATCCCAAACTTTCAGAAAGTTAGCTCTTTCAGGAAGAGAGAGACGGAGACAGAAGCACAGAGAGAGAAAGAAAACCTCTGCCACTGGTCCCAGCAAAGTCCTGGAAGAATGCTGAGGATTCTAGTTGATCAATCCCAGGTCACATAGGCCTCCTTGAACCAACTGTATGATCACTGTAACTCTGTCCCATAGGATCAATATGGAATAGACTTCTTGTTGGAAAAAGATGTTTATGTTTCCAGAGAAAAAGAGGAGAGGAGAGCTACAACTACCAGAGCCAACCACAGTAAGGGGACAGAATCAAGCAAGCACACAAGCATGTGCAAGCACGTACATACCCACATTCAGGTAGCCCTTCCATCATCAGACTGCCCATCTTAGAAACAGGTTATGGTTCCAGGATTGTCTAAGGCTGAAGACGATAGAACCGCTCCTCCAGAGCTATAGCCCTGCTGCCGTCCTCCACGAAGATGGAACTTGCCTGTGCATGCTCTTCCAGGGTCTCCCTGGTTGAACACCTCCCTTAGTAATTTGCATACCCACCTCGTGCCCATTATTTATCTTGAGGAAAATAATGGTTTCTGTTTTTCTTTGCATTCCATCACGTGATCCAGGGATAGTCATTCAGCCAGTATTGAATGAATGTCTGTATCTCAAATGCATAAATGGACAAAACAAAGAGCTTCTAAGAAAGTAGAATATACAGTCCCTGACTCTGGGATCTTTTCACTTTGTCAAGGACAATCAGAATACCTCTTAACATAACAGAACAGATTTAAATAAAAGCCACAAGAATAAATTAACTACATAAGATTTGAATCAGATAGTGATCAGAGGATGCCAAGTAAAAGTGTAAACAAAGTCAGGCTCCCACAGTTGTCAAGTGCACTTAGAGACAGCTTTTGCTTCTTATTATTTGTGCTCAAATCTTATTCATCTCAGTAATGTGATTCTCAAATGGGAGGGACACATGGTGAATGCCGAGAGCAGCTTGGATTGGAAGGGCCCATGGTGCTTTGATTAGTACAGAGGAACAAACCCTAGGGCTCTGATTCCTGCCCGGGCCTAGAAAAGTCTACCCCTCTTTCCTGACCACCAGTATCCCACTAATCCCAACTGTCCTCCATCTGGGAGTAGGTAATTTCTCCATTTGCAGAGAGTAAGAGTCCTTCCCATCCTTCCTCCTCTGACATATGCAGACTACACATTAGCATGGTAATGTCTCATGCCATTAGTGAGTAACGTGCTGAATAATTAGGCTATGAAAATCTAACAGCAGGGATTTTTGTTTTATTAGCAATTTTCCATCCTATTGTGTTAATTTCATCTCATGTCAGCCGGCTTTCTAAGTAAACAATGATCACAGGCAGACATCAGTTCCCAGCACATTGTGCTGCTGTAGGTGACTTCACAGACCAGAAAATGGCTTAAGTTGTCTTTTGTCTTGCAGTCTCTGCCTTCTGTTGATGTCATAAGATCTCTAGTCCCTGGTTTCTTATGACCCTAGAATATTCATTTCCTCTTTGTGTGTGTCTTTCTCTGCTTGTCTGTTCTCAATCTATCTCAATGTCCTTCTTGCTCATCTTTGTTTTTCTTCTCCCTCTTTTATGCCTTCTCCTCTCCAATACCTCTGTGTGCCTAACTGTAATGACATTGCACTTTTCAATACCATTTTCTTTTCAAATAATTTTCACATCCATCTTGCATCTTCTGCCCCCACTTCATTTTTCCATACACCTTCTTTAATGTCTCCCACTTTCCTCCCCAATTCATCTGCTTTTCCTTCCACTTGACTGTCTTCTCACCATTCCTTCCTTCACCTCCTGAACTCTCCATTTGGCCTAGCTCCTGGAGTGCTATCTTTCAGCCTCTCACCACCCTCCATCCCCCACCCCTCCATACACACACACACACACACACAACTCATTTTCTCCTTCCTGCTCACCAAGATTCCTGGCTGACAGATGATTAATACTGGGCCCAGGCATGCTGGAAAGTTTAATGCTTTTTCTGTGATATCCCCACAGTCATCAAACATCAGCAAGTTTCTCCCAGAGCTGAGAAAAACTTCTGTTACTTAATATGTTGCTGTTGTCCAAGTTACAAAAGCACCTGCCAAGTCCCTAAGAAAGATCATGGAGAAAGGTATTGGCAGCATTTACCTGGGTCACCACATGGACAGAGCTGATGAAGAAGGGTCATCCTTAATCAAAAGTTCCTCTTTCATTCTGTTCCTTCCTGTCTGACTCCAGGAGAGTAGGAACCTGGATTCTCCCAAGGCAGGATCATGTTTACTGACTCTACCCAAATATCCAGGCCAAAGAACTAGAACAATGAGGTAATATCTCCTTCAAAAAAAGATATAGCTAAATGCCAATAACTCAAGCACTCAAACTATGCATCCACAGAAGACCAATAACCCAACAGGCTGCTGTCTGGGGCAGCAGTTTGGGACACGCCAAAGCAATGTATAATTTTTATAATTAACCCACAAAATGTGACATAGTTGCCCTTCCTGCTAAGGGGCATAAATATTGTCCCTTTGATTTCATTCACCCTTGCCTCCTCATCATTCAGCCACATTTCACCATCCCTCCTCTATAATGCTCAACATGTACATGGCTATTTGATGTCTCAAAAAATCAACCGGCTTAATAAACGAGATTTTAGCCCTACAAAGATTGTCATGACTCAGATGAAAAAGAGAGCCAGAAGAGGATACAAGAAGCTTTTGAAAAGCACCAAGGCCCAAAAGGATCTGAGATATTTGCAAATCTGTCCCGTACCCACAACTGTGCAGCAGTGAGAACTACAAAAGAAATGGAAAATAATTTCCGTGATCTCAAGAAAACGTTGATTAGACAAGAAAATAGGATTAACTCTTAGATTATGTGAAATAAGCTACACATATAACACAGGCATTTTAAAAGAGATAGCTAATGTAGCTCCATGAAATCAAAGGTGATTTAAGACAGATTTTGAACATTCCTGTGTAGAGAAATAAAACAATCAAAGCACAAATGTGGAAATGTGAATGGCCTGGAATCACAGAAAAGGCAGCTTTGCTGCTATGAGCAATGGAAACTACTCCACTGATGGGCACTTCCAGCTGCTGTCCCAGCACAGCGACCTCACCAGCATCACGCCAGGACTGAACCACTGAAACCATTATGTTTAGTGCACAGTGAACCAATCTTAGAATAAGAAATGGGCAAGCCAATCTCACTTCTGCCACACCTTCTTCCTCTCAGCTCTCATTGCCTGTCCATATCAATATCCCGCATCAGACATACAGACAACCCCCCATACCGACTGCTGCACTAGCGAGAATCACCTCGCACAGACGCGTTCACCCTGCACTCAGCACATCAGCATTCAGCACCACGGCCAGCGCCTGAGGCAGCAGAAGGGAGCGAAACCTAGAAGAGGCAGCAGAAAATATAATCATTCTCTCAGTAGTCAGCCACAGGGCTCCTATTTCTTTCTCTTGTTTCTGAAGCTTCTTCCCTCTGGGTCCATGCAGGGCTACTGCATCTGGGTATCCATAAAAATTGACTGTGTTGTACTAACATATTCTGTGATTAACTGGTAGGAGAAGAAGAGGGAAAGCACCCCTCCCCTCCTCTACATATGTGCATAGATCCCTCCCTGTCTAAGAAGCTGGCTGCCTTTGACAAATATTGGAAACTCCTTCCCACATCCTGCCTTTTAATGACTAAGAGAGCAAGACCTGTAGTCAAGCTGTCTTCTCTAAGCTCGACCACATGGTAGCTGTGTAACCTTAGGCAAGTTACCTGCAAAATGAAGATAAAAATAGTACCTATCTCATTGGCTTTGCTGTTATTATTGTTCATGATCATGATCAGTGCTATCATCTGGCGACACTGGTCACCTTGCTGTTGCTTGAACATACTCCTGCCTCAAAGTCTTTGCATTCACTATTTCCTATGCTTAGAACCTTTCTCCAAAATAGCCATGTGGCTTGCTCCCTCACTTTCTTCCAACTATCAGTGAGACTTTCCCTGGTTATACCCTATAGTACCTCTCTCTCCACCACTCCCTACGTCCCATTCCTGCTTTATTTTCCTTCCTAAAATGTATTACTTTCTGATGTACTAAGTATTATGTTTATGTTTTCTCTATCCCCTTTTAGAACGTAAGCTCCATGAAGGCATGAATTACATTATGTTCACTTGTATCCCTCATGCCATTAAACAGTACCTGGCATGTAACAGGTGTTCAAAAACACTGGGTGAATGCAGTGTTATTATTATTATCAAAATGATTATTCAAGGATGATTTTCTCTATTTTATACAGGAGCAAACTGAAACATTTAAAAAACGTATAAAGTGCAAGCAGAAAATAATGAATTGAGAGCCAACCTTTCAATCTATTCCACCAGAGCAGCCCATAAGCTAATGAAGTATTCAAGACGCAGTTTGAGAGAAGTTCCCCATATCTTGAAGAGAGTCCTTGGGTAACCATTTTCAATCTCCTCCACCCCTCCCCAGAGCCCAGCCCAGGACCCTGTGGAGACTGCTGAAGGTTGGCAAAGCTCTAAGTCTTCCCTGGTCCAATGTATGTCCCAGAAGGATCCAACTCCCAGGGGTCTACCTGGCTTCAGGCCTTTGACATGGGGACTTGGTGAAAGCTAGGCAGCACTCAGCACTGAGAAGGCCATGCCACCAGTGTTCTGATACATCAGGGTTCATCTCAGCTTCTTCTCCTCCTAATAGAGTCTCATGCTCAGACTCATGCTCTTCCATCAGCCAGGAGGAGCAAGGTGAAGGGCACAGGGCAGGGATCATTCTGAATCTCTTGCAAAAAGAGTTTGCTTCCAAAGTGGCCAAAGTCCCCAGTGGAATTTGCTGATGAAGACTTTGCCTTAGAGTCAGGATTGAGGGAGGAGATGAGCCCGATCCCAGGATGAGGTCACATAAAAACCTCCTGCACCACGACTGTGCTAATGAAGAAAGGCCCCACTGGGGGACAGGAAATTCCAGATTTGTGCTGGTAAAGCCCACCTGAACAGCTATTTTTTTCCCAACACTGAGGCTTGCGGATGAAATAAGAACACCAGAGACAAGACAGGTAAAGGAATAAATGAGAGATAGGAAACTCTGGTTCTGCTACAAGAAGGCCATTGAAACCAAGCTCAATTCCATAAAAGTGAGTCCTGTGAGAAACAGGAAGACAGAGTCACAAACCAGGTCGCTATGTGTTAATGAAGAAGTCAAAGGAGAACTTCTACAACTCAAAAGTCACAGGCTCCACATCACACAAAAGAATGGCACACTGCAATTTGTACAGCACCAACCAGAGAGCTTGTTAAAAATGCAGAATCCCT